CCCCCTCGATACACCCTCATTAATTACCCAATCTGTCGAGCGTACTGTAACTTGTAATTAAAATTTCAATATTTCAAGGACTTCTGTCATTTTCATCGTGATGGTTAATGACTTTTGACCTGCGGCATCCCAGTCGATAATTTTGATAACGGGAAAACAACGCATTGCAGTTATCCGTTGTTAACTGATTGATTATTAATTGATTGCTGCTATATTTGCTGTTATCACCCACCCTCGTTTCAAATGCATCGTTATCAATAATTTCAATAATTTCAGGATTTCAATTATTTTTTTTTTTAATATTGAGAATTTCGGATGTAGGTAAGGTAATACAATTTTTTTCCTGTCAGACATTTTCGAATATAAAAAAAAAAGAGATTTCTGACGTAACGAAAGTTCCATCGTATGGTAGCGTGTACATATATATATTATCAAGAAAGTAAATTACACAAATACACTACATTAAATTATACAGACAATGCTCTTAAAAATGAGGTTATATTGTAAAACGTAGACCTTCTGAAAATTTTTTATGTTAATTATAAGAAATTTGAAGTTCGCGCCGTCTCGTTTCATGTATCTCATATGGATTAATCGCGAGCTCAATGAATTGACTATATCGTTCGGATCGATAGCAGTCGCCATTTTGAACGATACGTTACGTACGACAAAACGTAAAGCATAGTCGTGCACGTTACTATTATTAATTACTTTTAATTTTCAAATTGTCCTAATTAATTAATGGCGATCGAACCGTTACGCGCCAAACAGGCAAAATTGCGAGCCAATTATTTTACACGTTCTTCACGTATCTTTCGTTGTACATCGGGTGAAGTATCGCGAAATTAATGAAACCACGGAGACAATGAAAATTGGCGGTTTGGTTTTGCGGTAGAGTTAAAAAAGAAAGGCAGGAAGATAAAACCAGGTAGAATTTTCATAAGAATCGGTAAAACGTCCTGAAACGATGCAAAAACAAAAAATACTTTTCTTCTCATCTCTTCTCCTTCTTGCCTTATTATATATCGAATCCGTATTATTCGTCCTTATCCCGTTGAACTTTACGAGCACGAGACTGGCGTCACTCGATTTTACGTTTTCTCTCTTTCTTATGTTTTTGTATCTCGATTCTACCCCTCCGCTGTCATCTTTATTGCGTCACTTTTTTCCATTCCTCCGTAACCTCTTACTTTCTCTCTCTACGTACAACGTCTCTCACTCTCTCCTTCGTCATCTTTGTTACTTCCTCCGTTCCTCCTGTTTTTTCCTATCTTATTCCTGCGTCGTGAAAACGTTCCATATAACTATGAAACGTAACGCATAACACATCCCATATGAAATCAACCCTCCGAAGTAACATTTTTTTCCGCAACAACGGGATATTTCTCGGGACGACTTCCCTCCCCTCTTTCTTTATCCTATGTCTAATCGTAGAGAAGGTGGGGGGGGGGATCACGCCTTATCTGTGGTATACTTGTAAACTATATCTACGTTTAATAGCAATTATTTAGAGAGTACGCGGAGTAACCGGACGGAAAGAAAGTGGTGATGGGTGAGATAGCGGATATGACGTTTATCAAAATTCTTCGAAGTCCATCGAAAAGGACAATATATATTTTTTTCTCTCTATTGGATCGAATAATCTATATATACTTTATCAAAGTCAAAACTTGGCCTAAACTTATGAACTTTGATATGTTTCCATTGACACCCTTGACATAATACATATATCTTCTATCGTCATTCTCACTTAGTATATTTTCCATGAATAAAAAAAAAAATTGAAGAATTTCAATACGACGTCCAAGCAATGGTAATCAACCTTCTTCGCGTTAATTAGGATGAATTTCGCAATTTTCTTTCTTTAATCTTTTTTCTTGTTATTTATATCGTATCTGTTAAGGGAGCCAGGAGTGACTAGAAGAAGAAAAAGATATACTCGCGGTTGAGGTTTTTTTTTTATTTTTGACTTTTTTTCTTGTCGACGTCCGAGGATATCTTGCGAAAGTCGACGTCCGGGCCGATGTCAATAATGTTGCGATCGGTCGGCAGACGTATATTTCCACGTTAAAAAAAAAAAATGCTGACCTATATGTGAAAATCGTATATAACGTATACACAAGTTCACACAGTTAGAATGGAGAATTAAACGTTACGTTTTACACGAAAGATGAACACATACACAGCACATATTTTCATCCAATTGTGTATTCAGCTTTATCTAGTCTATAACGATGAACAAGGTAGTGAATGGGACGTGTGTGAATTTTTGAGAGCACAGTTATGTCAGAATGCGATTTGCCCGAGGTACATATGTTATACATGAAAATGAAAAAAAAAAGGAATATATACATACGCGAATCGAGATTGACAACGAGGATTCAAATAGCGCGCCACGACGCGAGGCTTATAGGCTTTGGCGGGAATTATTTGAAAATACGTTATTTCTGGGAATTCTGTTGATTGAGGATTACAGTAAAAAAATTTTTTTTTTAATGAGTTAAACCAACACACAGCACTCTTTGGTGTCTGGTGACGTTATGGGTGTTTTGGATGAAAAAAAGAAAATAAGATAACGGTATTAAAGGAAATTCCAAGATTTCTCCCGCTCTTGTATGCTTGTCGCGGGTCGTTGCGCGCGAGACGAAGATAAAGAGAAGTAATACAGCTCAAACGTTTAAAGACTGGGAGACTGGGACTTTTTTCTTCGCAAGAGCGTATTTCGACGAGAGTGAAAGAGACGGGGAGAGAGGAGAGAAAAAAGCATCACGTGACTACGAGGAAAAATGACTTTGGGTTTCGAAAAACGATTCAATTTTGAAGTGAAAAGAGATAGAGAAATAATCATGGCCGTATTTTTGTGCTAGATCGTATAGACGACGTATACAGTGTGACTGTAAAAAAAAAGTGCGAATGGGATATGTACGAGTGGCGAAAACTTATTGTATTATAAAAATAAAACAGATATTGTTTAAATAAAATTGATATAAATAAGCTCCTAGAGTTGGTCGCCATTTTTCCTAACCTCTCTGCGCTAACGATATTAATTTTATATATTTTCCAAGATATCCAATTGAAATATTACGGGAACGTTACTCGTGTAAAATTCTTTTTTTTTTTTTTATTTTATGAACGTATCAGTTAACTTCGACTCGCTGCATTCGTTATCTTAACAAAGTTACCAACTTGCTTTCTATGGTAGTAATAAGTTTCAAGTCTTTCAAGCAAAGTCGGAATTTCGTAATGTCAATCGTCTTATCCTTGGAGTATTATGTATATATCCAGGTAATCGTGGTTAGAGTGGTATAAATTATATTTTGCGTATATTTCAATAATAATCTTTGTATATGATTACGTTTAGTTTCAGGTAAGGAAAAATGAGATAAAGCCGATGGTGAAACTTTTTAAAAAGTTCCGTGTGCCATAGGCGGTTATTCAAGTTGCAGGGAAATAAACGAATTTTAATTCTATGCATAACATAATATGGTGTGTTGACGCTGTCATGATGAGACGCAAAAGGGAAGCTGTTTTTGCATAATGCAACAACCAGGGCATAAACAGTGTTACGTATAGCTTAGTGAGTATTCGCCGTCTACGTTACTCAGAATATTGACAATTTAGTTTCGTAATCGAGGATCTACGCTTAAACTTGTACTGAGCGAAGCAGCTACGCACGTGGATGCTTACGCGACATTAAAGGGAAAAGCTGACTCTACGTGGGAAACTTTTAATTTGATAAGGTTTTAGTCAGAGGTTTATTCTATGTTAAAATACTGCATAATTATTCTTCATTTGCATAATAATGTTTATAGTGTATATTCGAGATATACCAAATGCGGATAATGAATAAAATATTCGTGAAGAGTGAAGGAGCTATCGAAGCTTTTTCTCGGTCTGTCAAATATTGAAAAACAGTGCTATCGTACGAGAGCTGTCAAAATTGACAGCTGCGTTTGACAGGTGACTCTCTTTTTGACATCCAATTATCATCAGGCGTCACCCGTGCGAGTGTTTTGTTACTTTGTTACACAATAGAAATAGTAGCAGTAGTAAAAGAATTTTATGTATCTACATTTTTCAAAGTCGTGATTTTCGTTGGGAATTAATTTTGGGATTTGGACGGTAACATCGATGGAATAAAATATGTCTTAAAAGGGTGGATAGGTAAGAGTGCCGGTCGTAATAAGAGTACAAGAAACAAGGGTTGTAGCATAGGGGATGAGAAAGGAACGATAGAGGCTATAAAGTAATATATTGAATAGTATTGGGTTGGCATGAAAATAATGAGACACTCTAGAAAACTCTACACACGTCCTTTTTTAAATTAATTGTTTTTCACCGTTTCTATTGTATATACCCACAGAGCGGAAGTATCTAGAATGTTCTAGAACATACTGGAATATGGTCAAACCAATTCATTTAAAAAATGACATGTGTCGAGCTTTCTAGAGTGTCTCATTACTTTCATGCCAACCCAATAATAATATATTAAAAATGAAAAACCATCCCCCACTTAAATAATAGATTCAAGTATTTACATACAAAGCAAATCGATCCTGATCGATGTTATGTAATTCCAAGGATGCCAATGTAAAAATAACTAACGCTATTGGCTAATCTTAAACCAATAGTCCAGAAGATCTTGGAGAGTCCAGAAGAATTGTCTATATTCTCCGCGCGCAACCTTTGACCTTTTCGAAACATATACATCATGGTGCACGTGGCTAGAATTAATTTGAACAATATATATATTTTTCATATTTCCACGAAACACGTCAACGCATTTTGTACGTGCCCACGTATACGATTTCCTGGAATGAATAAAAGAACGTACATACAAGTACAACCAAACAAAGAAAAAGTAGCCTGTCAAGTGCGTGATATAGAGAGCTTGAAAAAAAATAACTGTCAAAACCATTGAAATTCTTCGTTTCCTTTATTTTCCCGCGAAAACCATTTCGAAGTGACGACATAATTTTTCTGGTCCATAGATTTAATTTTCAAGATACATCAGAGCCGAGATGACATCGACTGCAGCTGTAACTGATGAAATTGCTTCTCGTTTAAATTCACCTCGCGTCATTTGCACAGAGAATTTTTTTTTATTATGAAACAAGATACTTTTTTATGGTAAAAAAAGAAAGAAAGTTATCCAGTGGGTACAGGCGAATCAATAGCTTCTCCTCTCGTTTGCGTTACAGCTATAGACAGACCGCGTGCTATATATCTAACAGCTCGGTTCAGCTATAGACTCGCTTAGGGTCGAGGCATAGAAATCAAATAGTAGGGGTAGGTATTAATCGCGATACCGTCAGCCATCGATCAATCATGAGTATTTGTATACGGCGTGTATGGTCTTTATCGTGATGGCTTGATCAAAATCATAGGCAAAAAATGCACGAACAAAATTACGAAAACACGCATTGACACTGTTTCTCATATAAAATAGATTAATCATATTTATCCTTCGCGCACTATACGCATATTACGTTACACATCCGTATCTGAGATACGATACTGTCTTTATACGGATATTCATTATCAGGGCATCCTAACAAGTAAATTCCCTAGTTTTCCTTTTTAAGGGATCTGCTGATCGCTTGTTTTATATAAATAAAAAATTTACCAACCAGCTACCCACTGACAGTTCTTGATATTTTCTTGGTAGCACGTTACGTCATGTTCACGAGACTTAAGGCTGCAGTGCCGATACGTCTGTTCTTGAAGTCTCATTAGAAATGTCGTGGCAGATTGAGCTTCACGAAAACACCTTCACTCAGGATTTTACTTAGGTATTGCGATACTCCGCCCCTCCCTCCCAGCCCCGCACTCCGCAATTTAATTTGCTTGCGTCTTACACGCATCCTTGAGACTGTTGAAGCTGTCACTACTAAGACTTAAGGGGAGGGGAGGGGGGGGGGGGGAAATTTAAACTGCGAGACAGAGAATGGGGAGACGTTGAATGACTATTAGAATTGTTGCTAATGAATTTAGAGCTTGTTTCGTATTAATTACCCAAACAACGTATAACGTCTAAGAATGATCTTCAAGAGGTGTAACGTGAGAGAAGCTGGCTTTAGAAATCTTAAAGACGACTTTTGGATGTATCTATTGTCTGGATAGAAGATACAATTTATTATTTACATCAAAACAGTATAATTTGAATACGAGTATCGAGATGAATTTCGTATTGACTAAATAGAAAAATTTTGTTTAATTAATTACTCTAATAAAATTTCAATGGCATCTCTGATCGATAATATTTGAATGTCAGGAGAGAGGGAAAATTTGCAGATTTTTAACTTATCTTCGTTTCTTATCGCTTTTCGCATTTCCCCAAGACTCGTAGAATTTATCGTCGACATAAAATCCTCTCGACTTAGTACGGATTTCAAAGTCCCCTTAAGCTTAAAGCACAGCCAACAGAACTATCTAGGGAGCCGGTCGAGTTTGTATTCGCGGTCTGACGTACCCCTGCACAGCTGCATGCACTTTCCTCGTTAGACCTTGTATACACACGCGAATGAGTCCTGCATAGCGTGCAGTGCCGGAAGCGAGTGCATTCGAGTGAGTGGAATAGGAGTGCAGGGGATGTTCTTTAATGTGAACTTTCTTAAACGCCGTATAAAGTGGCGTCAGGTTCTAGGTAGGAAGAAAAACATTGTTCAACACACAAAGATGCATCCACTGCAACGATACGCAGCTGCAGGAGAAAACTTATGTAGTTCTTAGTTACTTTTTTGGACTCCGAGCTCTGCGACCCGATACCCACTTCTTATGTCCTAGGCAAGACACACGTTCTCCATCGTCTACTTCTGTTGCTGTCCTAGCAGTTTCTCCTACCTAAACTCACTTTTATCCCCCTCGCCGTAGGTATACTCTTCCACAAGATTTTTACCGGAATTCGCTATAAAGTTACAACATTGCTTGTCCCTTGTGACGTTGGCGCCAATGTAAAAGCGATAACCATACGAATTTCACAATTCTACAAAATAGTGTATGACGACCAAGAAAACTGTGATATAACAGATTTTTGACATGACAGTGACGAGATGAGTTTTCAAACAAAAAATATATTTTCACAACAAAAATCCAATCACGTTAATTCCGTATAACGATTTCTTGAAGAATTTTATTACATTTTTTTTTGTTCAAATCTCGACTTTCTACATTTCTTTTTTTTTTATTTTTCCTAAAAAAAAAAAAAACATACTTAACACGTTCGCCGCATTTACCTTATTCTCCGCGCGAATTCGCCTCGATTTGTCTTTGACGTGTCGAGGTTCCGCAATAACGTCGCTCCCGTAAAATTAAGCGAGGCGCCAACTTGAGAACTAGGCGAGTTACCCCGGAAGAGTTTCCTGGGTTTTTCCTCGCCGCGAACAAAGGTCGATCGTGGATAAAAGAGTAAGGCAGTAATGCGAGAACATGACGTATCCAAGGAAGACGGAGTGAGAGCGAGAGAGAGAAGGCAACCGGTAGTAAAGGGGGAAAAGGATGAAGACTTTTGTGGAAACATGCTCGAGTCCCGAGCAAACAGCCTTTATGCGGTATTCGTTAAGACGAATGGGCGAGAGCCTAGTGATGTATTAGCAGGAATAAATCGAGATAGATAAGTTGGCCACGACGAACACTTGCGAAAATAACATTTCTTTTTGTCCTCCGACCCCTTCGACAACGCCAACGAATAATAGATTTGCTTTATCCGGCACCTCGAAATTAATCACGCATCCATTAGCAAGGTGTAATAATTATTAAAAGTGCATATATACGTATAATATAATTTCTAATACAAGATTCTAACCTACAATTCACATTGCACTAAGTATTTGCATATCCGAGTCAATCTGAATTGCATATTACACCCTTTTAATGCAGGACAATGAAATCCTTATTCAGAGAGTACATAAAGTCTCGGTGAAGAGAATCGATAAGCCATTTTCGTGGGTGACTCTATTTCAAGATGTCGGACGACCTTTGCCATTTACTGGCCA